GGAGTGATGGATAAATAAATGAATCCTAATAACTTTAATGACACTATTTATGAAATCACTCCCTCATGATTAAATCATTTGATGGCGTAAACAACAAAAAAAGAGACATTAGAAGAGCCGTCTTAAATGTTCTCATGTTTAAACTAGAAAGCGTTGCTGTTGACAAAACTGTTTTCCTTCTCACTGCGTGGGTGGCCCGCAAATGGAAACGACTCATTTTAATGAGTCACTTTAGTAAACAAACACCGACCACATGTCGATGGACGTCAGATTTGTGTTTTTGACATTTCTTGTGGTAAAAAGTAAAAGTGTGTCCCGCTGTAGACAGCACCCAGTCGGTCAGGTAGCCTTTTAGCATTAATTTTCTACTTAGATGCTACATCTGCCATTGTCAGTGCTTGACTTGGGAAATTAATGATTTAATGAGTTTTCCTGTTCAGTCATGAGTGTAATTGACTCCGATGATCCAGTTTCCTCCTTTGTATCGGAGCCTCAGTGGCTCTGCTTTAATCCCCACATCCTCTGGAGATGGAAACTGTTGTTAGGTTTACATATTCATAGGAAAGTCCAGGCAACAATAGAGTTGGGTTTTAAATCACTCATCTCTTTAGAGCTCTAAGGAAACACCCTAAGGTTCTTTATTATTAATGTTCCCCATTTTTTGTCAAGACGTTTTATTGCAGTTGAGATCTCCCCTTGATAGTCCTTTTTGAACACTGATGCGCTACAAGAAATGTTCACTTCTGTTTGGGATTGCTTTTAGTTTATTAGGACTGTTGCAGCTTTAACAGCTGAGAAATGAAGCTGAGTAATTTGAACACAAACATCTGCAGAGTGCAGCCATCTTTCTGCTCCACTTAACATTTGATTGGCCTTTAAGTGGCTTGATTGACTAAATATTGATAGACTCCTTAACAACCTCTTAGGGATCCTGTCTTTTCTGAGAGACTTTTACTGCTCTCTAATTGTCTCATCAAATGATTGTCTTTGTTTTAGTCTACTTTACTTCAATATTAATGACCATTCATTAAAATAGCTGGTTGGCCAGATTCAAACTCCTGACCAAATGTGTTTTAAGGTGACCACTATTGATGCTCCTGTAGCCTTGAAATCGGTAGCACACACAGCTGCATTGCTTCTGAGCGGGTGTGGGTGGTGGCCTGGGGACTCTGGGGTGTGGGAGTGGCCGGCCCTGTGTGGGGATCTGGGCGGGGCTTTGGGGGTCGGGTCCTGACATGTATGCTGCCAGGAAGAAGGCAGGAACATGCGGCAGTGCCCGGCCCGGGCTCAGGGGCCTCGGGTAGACCTTGGCTCCTCTGCTGTTCCATCACAGGGGAGGGGGATGTCCAGGAAGGGGAGGACCCAACCTTACCTGGATGTCCTATGTCTTATATATTCTGGAAGTTTTGCAAATGCAGGGATGGGAATAGATATTCTGCTGGGGTGGGGCTGGGCTGCGCATCAGCACCCTAGCAGAAAGGGTCAAACTCTGGTAACCGGTAATGGTTGTACCCCATGTGCAGCAGTACCGGGACCAGAGTGTATAGGCTGTGTATGGGGAGCATGAGTGGGTGTCCGGCGTGCATTTTTGTAAGTCTTTGGTCGTATGTGTATGTGTGAGCATGTTCTCCTGGGACTTCTTGTGATGCTATACATCTTTGTCTCCCCTCTCCCTGCCACACCTGGTGTGGAGTGTGGTGCCTTGGTCTGCCTGAGTGTTCGTGGCTCCTGGGTCAGGAGGTTTAAGATTTTTGGCATCTGCCTGATCAATCCCGGTGGCTGCCTGGTGGGATCTGGGTCCCTGGGCTCTGCTGGGTCCCCGGCGGGGGTGGTCGCCCCTGGGTCCCAGGTTGCTGGGTCCCGGGCTCGGCCGGCTGGGGGGCGGGAGGCTGCGGGCGGGCCTGTGGGGTTGCCGCTGATATCTCCCGGGACTCTGCCGGTTGCTGGTTGTGGCCCCCCGAGGCGATCCTCTGCACCTCTCGAGGGGGGCAGGGGCTTTTCTGGTCGTGGTCTCCTTGGGGTCCCTGTGCTCTGGGGCAGCTCCTGGATCTCTGGGACTTGGAGCTCCCTCCATCTCCAATGCATCTTTGGGGGGCAGATCTGTGGCCCCTCACATTGGATACTCCTATAGAGAAACCCTACATATACAAGCGTGTGCATGTACACAGGTGCTCACATGGTGCACTCTCAAGTATGGACTTGGGCACGTTCAACACATATCTTAAGGCTGTGGTTGGCACTTAATGCACTGTGATTTATTATTGTGTGACTGTTCAGTAAAACATGTTGGTTTTACATTTCTTCATCAAGTTGGCGCAGTGATAGCTTGATCTTGACGTATTGTTGTGCGTCCCTTTTCTGCAGGTCTAGAAGCAGACTCTTGTTCATCATTGATAGTTTATTTTCATGGACCCCCCCCCCCACCCCTCACACACACACACTAGGGCTGTCGCGGTAACCGCAAAAATGAAATATCGCAATATGAAGAAGCCCACCGCGCTGCATCATGGGCCACCGCGATTACTGAACTTGGTTCAACTCAATGATGCATGTTGAGAAGGATGGCTGCACTGGTATCAAAACGAAACGTTACTTCGCTCCTTTGGGAGCACTTCGGTTTTCAGTACGTCAGCTGCTGCGCGGCCAGAGTCCTTGGCCGAGACGGAGCTGCCACCAGCGGCAAAAAAATAATAATAAACGCTCGGAGACCTGCTGAAGTCCCGGACAAGCACTGCTTCTGCAACCGTCCCGAAGAGAGTTTGAGCCGAGCTGGAGCTCACTCGCTACCTGCAGGAGGAATGCATCCACCCTAAAGAAAACCCCCCTGACATGGTGGAGCAACAACCGGGAGAGATTCCCTTTGCTCGCCAGAGTCGCACGCAAGTACGTGTGCGTTAGTGCAACGAGCGCACCATCCGAGAGTGTTTTCAGTGTTGCTGGAAATGTTGCCACTCAGATCCTCTCTCAAACCGTATATGGTTAACATGCTGGTTTTGCTTGTAGGTAACAAGGACGTGACCGAGCTATAAATCACCGTCATTCGTGTGTGTGAAAGTGAAATGATAGTGCGTCCGCCCCCCGGCGCGCGCGCGTGCCCGGTACATGTAATTTTTGATGCTTGATTTTAAACAACTAAACAAAATGGGGACTTGTTTCTTAGTTGTTAGATGCTGCAGCCAAATTTGCATTTAAAAGTTTAACCTTCTCCTGAATTTTGTTGTTTTTAAGTTCAGTCGGACTCCGACTGTCGGAGAAACAAACGTTACTGCGATCTGTGTTGTTACTGCCCTTTGATCTGCATTCAGTAAAGTGTTATTAAAGAAGGCACGGCAATTTTAACCTTTTTTAAATTTGTAAGCATTATGTTTAGATAGTACTGCAATAAAAAGAGAATGCAATAATATCGCACACCGCAATATTAAGCCACCCTGAATCACCGCAGGGGGAATTCCTCAACCGCGACAGCCCTAACACACACACACACACACACACACACACACACACACACACACACACACACACACACACACACACACACCACACACACACACACACACACATGCACACACACCTTTTGTCTCTTCCTTTCTCTTTCACCTCTGTCTTCGTGTCCGGTCAAAATTACAAAGTATTCAGAAAACAATAACAATAAAGTTTTAAGTATCAGGCGTGATATTAAAAGCAGAAGCTTTGATGCTCCACCTGAGAGTAAATCTGTAAGGCTTGTCACCAGCATTCAGACATTAATTCTGTTTGCTTCACAGCCAGACAGGACACAGAAGGAAAAAAAAAAGAAAGAAATCGGTAGCACACTATTAAAATTAGTTTTTTTTTTTAGGTATTAGTGTTTGTATCATCATGATGTTGGTGTCTGCTGGTGAGGAAAACAATGGTGCATTGTCATTTGTCATTACATTTTTATATTTTTCTACCCCTTAGCTGTTAGCCTTTCAAAAAGAAAAAGCACCAAGTACAGTAAAACTGTAAAAGAGCCTCCATGAGACAACAATGTGGCTCTAGATTACCTCATCCATCTAGTTTCTTTCCCAAAGACGACCAACTCAGGCAACTTCTATTAAGATGTATCAATCATGAAGCCAGAGCAAGACTGAGCCTGCAAAGGAAACAATGGAAACTATTTGGGGCAGCAGTAGCTCAGGTGGTAGAGCGTGTTGCCTCATGATCGGAGGGTCATGGGTTCAATTCCAGCTCCTGCCAGGGGTATCCTGCTGTTGTGTCCTTGGGCAAGACACTTCACCCAACTTGCCTGTGTTAGTGGTGGTCAGAGGGGCCGACGGCGCCAAATGGCAGCCTCGCCTCTGTCAGACCTCCCCAGGGCGGCTGTGGCTACAAGTAGCTTACCATCACTAGCATTGTGTGAATGTGAGAGTGTGTGAAAGCGTCTTTGGGTGTCTTGAAAAGCGCTATATAAGTTCAATGCATTATTATTATTATTAGAGGAATCACTGTTGAGCTCAGAGTTTAAATAAGGTGTACTCCATTTCATTATTCCCATTAAAAAGAGCTCAGATTGCATTTTTTAATTTATGAGCAGGTGACATTAGCCTACCGAGGGATTGGTGATGGAAATTCAACCTTGGTGATAATTTTTGCGTATTTAAATTAATTTTTTTTCGCCTGCTTATCAGGGGTCGGGTCGCAGGGGTAGTTGCGGCGAGGCCCAGACTCCCCTTTCCCCAGTCACTTGTGCCAGCTCTTCCGGGCAGTCCCACGGCGTTCCCTGCCCTACGAGAAACAGTCCCTCCAGTGCAACCTGGATCTTCCTTTGGGTCTCACTGCAGACGCAGCACCGATCTGCCTATTGATCTTACGCTCTGTTTTTCCATCACTAGTGAACAATAATCCGAGATACTTAAAGATTTACGTTTATCAAAAGGCGCTGTCTCTTTACAAAGTACTTTACTTACTTTACCGAACCTGCTTCTCAGCATGAAGGCATTTTTCTTACTAACGTGACTCTTTCTTCTCTGTGTCTTCAGAGATCAGGGCCCAACTGGTGGAGCAGCAGAAGTGTCTGGATCAGCAGACGGAAATGCGAGTCCAGCTGCTGCAGGACCTTCAGGACTTCTTCAGAAAGAAGGCAGAAATCGAAATGGAATACTCCAGAAACCTAGAGAGACTAGCCGAACGCTTTATGGCAAAGACTCGGAGCACCAAGGATCACCAGCAGTATAAGTAAGGAGATGTTTTGTGACAAGTTTTATAGGTCATGTGGGACATACAAGATATTTGCAAGATTTTCTACAGTCATTCAACATTTGCACAAAATGTTCTTGTGATAATTTAGTTGTAAAGTGTCCTAATTACTCTCAATTTGGTCACCAACCCCTCTTAAAGTAGTGTTAAATTTCTCCTACTCGCTGACTCACAGAGAATATATTGAGAAGGGTTTGAGGTGGATTCCGGACACCGGAGGCAAGATCAAAGAAAGAGCAAGGTTGTGCAACTTACTTGAGGAAACTTGGAAATTCAATTCAGTTCAATCAACTTTATTATCGGACTCAAGGTCCACATTAAAAAAGAGACATAAAAACGATACAAAAGATTATAAAAGACATGCATACCAGAGTCTCCACATGGATGACTGGTAACACACTGCACTAAAATGGGGATCAACCAGCATCTGCACAAGTCTGTTCTCAGAGTTCTTCAATCGCAAGATAAACCTGTTCATCAAATTCCTCATTATGGCTTGGAAGGTCCTGACATGAGCATTACAAAATAAAAGACTTGCACTACAGGACCGAGGCTTCCCTAGCAGAGTCCTAAATGCATCGTTGTAGGCTACTTTAAGCTTATGCAAGCTGGCTTTCCTATACTTACACCACAAAGGTGCAGTATACAAAGGTGTGCAGTAGGTTCTAAAAAGGTGGATTTTTATCTTATCAGAAGACATGTGGAATTTCCTGACCAAAATATTGGCTTGGGCATACAATCAATCAATCAATCAATCAATCAATCAATCAATCAATCATCAATCATCAATCAATCAATCAATCATCAATCAATCAATCAATCAATCAATCAATCATCAATCAATCAATCAATCAATCAATCAATCAAACAAAGATTATTAATCCTAGAGGGAAATTAGAGTTTCAGTACACACAATTCAGAGATCAGACATACATGGGCAAGACACATGACAAGAATTGGTGACTGTGGTCATTCGCAACCCGAGTCGCGCTACCGTAATAGAGATCAGAGGGTAACATGAGGAATAGATTTCGGGAGGAGGGAGAAAAAGGCACTTCACAGCTACCCTCCCACCAGGAGGGCAGCGTTGCTCTGCAAAAAAACACCTCAAACAAAGCGCGACATTGCCGGTAAATGCCGTCATCGTCACAGAGCTGATCTGTGATGATGTGACCCAAATATTTTGCTTTGTCACTGACACTTATCTTCTTGTCGACCAAGTAGAAGTCGGGGAAACTAAGACTCTTATCACCTTTGGTTCGACAAATCAGCACAACACTTTTTTTGCATTAAACTGCACATCGTACAGATTTGACAAATCATCCATGTAGAGGTTCTTCTTCTGCACAAATATCTTTTTGGAGGTCCTTTACCTGGAGTTGCAGCTTTGTGGAATATTGTCTTTGAAGTAGGAATGTTCTATTTTATCGGTCTACCATTTATATCGATGTCAACATTAAGATTTTATACTGGAAAATATCAGTTTTCAGTCTTATAATGACCCGACCTTTACATGCTATAAACATGTTATACACCAAACTCTTCAGCTACTTCTCCTCTCTCTCCCAGTGTCAATATATAACAGATCTGATGTAATATTTTTGACTTATTGTAGTTTTTATGGCACTTGTGAAGTAGAAATTAGCCTTAGCATACGCTGTCCTCGCATCACGTAGCTCTTTGTAGCTAGACTGCTAACAAACGACTAAAACCAAAAAGTAGAATCTTCACCCAAGGTTTGATTTTCTCATCTGAAGATTCTATAAATGCTTTATTATCATAGCTGCAATATATAGAAAAATTAAAAATACATTACTAACTAATAAACACATCTTAGTATTACGCTTGATGAGATTCAGTTGCTTTTGGAAACAAGCTAAATGTGGTACTTTTCATGTTAGTAACTTAAAATGAAGTAGTTGTCATTTTGCACAGAAAATATTCAAATGTAAGCATGCATGATGGGAGATATGTGAGGTTAGTGACCTAAAATGTTTAAGTTTTTTCTTTTTTATGAGTGGGGGACACGGCATATGTTGGCTTCGGTTTTTATCGTTATCGGAAATTAGGAGTCAGACAATATCGGTATATTGGATATTGATAAAAAAGCCAAAACCAAGCATCCTTACTTTGAGGAACTTTTTATACACTGTGTGGTATAACATCAGTAAGTCTGTTACCTGCTACAAAGAGCAAAAACAATCAAAATCTGGTGTTGGGAATGTTTTAGTATTATATCCCAAAAAGCCATTATATGCAGCTTTTTCATCATTTTAAATAATTTTCTTGAGCCAGTAAGGTTAATGAAATGTTACTCAGACCCCATCGCCCGCTGTGGCGTGCAACTTCTGATTGGTGGACCGCTCTGTTGGGAGCTGACATACCTGGTGGTGCAGTGTGCTTCCAGCATGTTTCCTGCATGTTTGAGATCATGAACGCAGATGATTTGTTTTAATTTAGCGATGACCCACTTCTGTAGCCACTGATGAAGGCCGGGGAGACATTTCAGCTGTTAGCTTAAGGTGTTAAAAAGACAAATGCACAGCTAGGAGATGAGTTTTGCTTTCGGTTTGACCACACACGTTTATAACGGGCACTGGGGGTTGCTAAAAGCAAGCAAAACTGCCAACTGTGCCTTTAAAACAAGCAGCAAGTAAAGTAATAAAATAATTATGTATTTATTTCTGGATGTTTAGTAAGTAAGTAAGTAAAAGTTTATTTATATAGCGCCTTCACAGATATAAATCACAAAGCGCTGTACAACATGATAAAGATCAGGGCAAATACCTCTAACCAATAAAAACATCAGAATTACAATAGCAGTGATAAACGTAGAAAATAAAATCATGAATAAAAACAAAGTGAAGGTGTGAACCCGAACAAAGCCATCTTTTTGAAACATTTAGGGAGGGAACGCCTGGATGAAAAGGTGAGTTTTTAGATGATTTTTAAAGACCTCTACAGTGTTAGAGAGCCGGAGGTTTGAAGGTAGACTGTTCCAAAGTCTGGGTGCAATAGTCTGAAAGGCCCTGTCCCCTTTGGTTTTCAGTCTGGTTCGAGGAACAGCCAGGAGGTTTTCAGATGTGGATCTGAGGTTCCGAGAGGTGGTGTGTGGGGATAAAAGCTCAGATAGGTAGCTTGGAGCCTGGTTGTTAAGAGCTCTATAGGTCAGGACTAAAACTTTAAACTGAATTCTATATTCTACCGGGAGCCAGTGGAGGGACTGTAAAACTGGAGTGATGTGAGCTCGTCTGCTGGATTTGGTTAGGAGTCTGGCTGCTGCATTTTGGATGGCTTGAAGGCGTGACAGGGAGGTTTTGCTGAGACCAGTAAAAAGAGCGTTACAGTAGTCTAAGCGTGATGACACAAAGGCATGGATATTTTTTTCCATATCTGCAGTAGAAACCAGTTTATGGACTTTTGAAATGTTTCTCAGTTGAAAGAAACAAGAGCGGGAGATGGTTTTGACGTGTGAGTCTAAACTTAAAGCTGGATCAAAAATAACTCCCAGGTTTCTAATGTTGGCCTTGGCTGATGGGCAAAAAGAGGCAATTTCTTTTTAAAATAACCTTCGTGGCAATAAACTGTCATTTTAATTTAATTCTGTTTATTTAACTCAGGTGTTTTGTAGGTTTTGGGGTTTTCATGGGAAAGACAAACATTAGCGTAGTATTTACTCTCATGGAAGAAAAAGGAATAAAATATGATTGTCCTTACTGTCGGTAAAATTAAAACAAAAAAAAAAACTAAAAATCTGACCTCCATCTGAAATGGCTTTAACAGCTGTGTGTTCTATGTCTATAATAGCATGGAGACTCCAGTGTGGCGCTCTGAGGTTTTCACTATGTGATGTACAGTCTGGTCCCTTTATTCAGGGTAAACATTTGGCAAGTTGCTACAAACACATTTCTTGAGTAAATATAGGACATTTGAAGAGACATTAAAAACCTTCCTGCAAGTTTTAAATCATGTGTCCCCTTTTTATGTTGTTGCTCACATCAACAGACTCACAGTAAGGACTCAGACTTCTCTGGGGTTGTTTTTCTTTGGCAGATGTGTCTGTGGTGTGAAGTAGAGCATTTTCCTTTTTCATACACAGCCTCAAACCAGTTTTCATGCGACAGGTTTTCATGGCAAAATGCAAAAGTGTAGTTAAAATGAGCAGCCTAGTCTGGTGATTAGTCTCGACAGGCTGCGGTTAAAAATGGGGGCTGCAGTGCGTCAGTTCTTTGCAGCAAGCATGCATCGATTTGCATCGTTTAAACCAATCTTGAATCATTTAGACCATTTGTTTATCTATCTATATAAAATGCAACCAGGTAACCAAATTAAACTCAGGCAGAGGTTGAAGCTGCACTTCTGTAGGTCCCAGTTTTATTTGTTGATGCAAACGATGACACTAGAACTAGGATTTAGCTGTTAGAAGGGGAAAAAAAGGTTAATAAAGTATTTATTATTTTATAAAGAACTACAAATGTTCCTCTCACAGTGCTCTGAGCTGGGGGAAACTTTTTGACAGAGTTGGAATTCAGTCCGTCCTTCTCCTCCTCCTCAGGAGTAAAAGGGAGGCTGAGCGTGTCAGAAATCACAAACTCTGTTGCACTCAGGGGGCATTGAGCGACTCACTTCTGGAGAGGAATGTGGTTTGCCTCAGGGGTGGTGGTGGGGTGGTGATGTATGTCTGTAAAGTCTGAGTAAAGGGGTTTAAAGAGAGCAGTAGATAGAATATGATAGAAGTTACACGTTTTAAAAACTATCTCACCAAGAACTTAGTCTTGAAATACCAGTGCTGGTCATAAAATTAGAATATCATCACAAAGTTCATTTATTTCAGTAGTTTTATTCAAAAAGTGAAATGTGTATAATATATTAGTGTCAGAATATTAGAATATTATGCAAAGGTTCAATATTGAAAACCCCTGGTGCCACGCTGTAATCAGCTAGTTAACTCAAATCACCTACAAAAGCCTTTAACCCTCCCACTGTCTTCATGGGTGACCCCGCAGAAAAGCTGACCATTGAGCAGGATTTATGGTTTATCCCTTGAGGTCCACATGGCAGGGGTGAGGACCACCTCACCCCTGCCATGTGGACCTCAAGGGATAAACCATAAATCCTGCTCAATGGTCAGCTTTCCTGCGGGGTCACCCATGAAGACAGTGGGAGGGTTAAAGGGTCTCTCAGACTTGTTATGTAGGCTGCACAATCATGGGGTAGACGTTTTGACAGTTTTTCAGAAGATGACTTTTGACACCTTACAAAAAGAGGCTGGCTGCTCATAGAGAGATATGTCCAAGTGCATTAATAAAGAGGGAAGGACAAGATGTGGTAGAAAACAAGTGTACGAGCAATAGGGATAACCAGACCCTGGAGAGGATTGTGACATAAAACTTATTCAAAAATGTGGGGAAGATTCACAAAGAGTGGACTGCAGCTAGAGTCAGTGCACTACCAGTAAGCTACCAATACCTTGTTTAAGGACCATGGTATCCCTATTCTTGATTGGACAGCAAACTGGCCTTTGAACACCTGTCGGGTATTGTGAAGAAGAAGAAGATGAAAAAGGCCAGACCCAATGATTCAGAAGAGCTGAAGGCCACCATCAGAGCAACACGGGCTCATGGACTCCATGCAATGTCCCATTGCTGCAGTAATCCTGGCCAAAGGAGCCCCAACTAAATATTGACTGCTGTACATGCTCATACTTTTCATGTTTGTACTTTTGAGTTTGCCAACATTTCTAAATATCCTGTTTTTGCATTGGGCTTAATTGATATTCTAACATTCTGAAGTACTGAATTTGGGACTTTCATTAATCATCAAAATTAAAAGAAATAAACATTTGAAATACTATATCAGCCTGTGTGTAATTAATGAAACTACGATACAAGTTACACTTTATTAATGGAAATACTGAAAAAATATTTGCTTTGTCACAATATTCAAATTTTATGACTGGCACTTGTAATGTTGGTGTTTCAGTTACTTACTGATTAGTTTTATTGATTATTTGAAAGTTGCCACTGAAAGGTGAGCATTAGCAAACACAAAAATGGCTACAAGTCAGTAGTAGCTGGGAGCCAACTCCATCATGTAATTGTGTGCTAACTAACCATGCAAGATCGATTACCTGCTGAAGACGAACGTGACCGTTAGCAAAACATCACCCACCACCAAATACAGAAACATGAAACAGTAATCATCACACAACTAACTTCTCAAGTCAAACTGGTTCCTTCCATCCTTTAAGGGATGCTAGTTTGAGTGACAGATTTAGCACAGATGAGGTGCTCACATTGCTTGGGAGGCCACATTGTTGTCTATTCGCTGCAAGGTGGTCCGGAGAGCTTTATTTCTCTTATGCTGCAAATAAAGAGTTGCTGTTTCTGGACTCTGCATTAAAACGTGATACTTATCCATCGCTGTCGGCATCATCTGCTGGACCTAGAGTGTAAGTTTGTTGACATTGACCCAGTTACTCATGGATGTGCACAGTATGATTGGATGGAACTCATGCCTATGCAAATATGGATGCAGGAGAAGTTGCTAATGAGTTATCTGCTTTATTTTTCTCCTTCCCTGCTTTTCCCGGACACCAGTTTCCTCATTTAATACCTGATTTTCGGCCTCTTGAGGACCCAGCTATCATTTTAGAGTCTGTCTGACCCAGTTCCTGCACTGGCTAAGGAGGGGAAATGATGACATTGAGGGATTTTCCTGCCATTATGTGGGGTTAGCAACTCTCAGGGCTTGTAATGTTGTGACAGTATTGGAGTGAGTCCCCTTCTTTAGGCTGGTTTGTCTTCTTTTTACATTCTAATTTGGCAGGCCAGTCTGTTTTCTAAATAATAGAAGGATGTTGTGGGTTTTTTCCTTATCAGATGGGCACACAGAACTTTTTCATATTTCTTTTATTGAATTATAAGTTTTATTACTGGTTTTCACAAAAATGTTGTTGCTACTTCTGTTGACAGTTTATTGTTTTGGGTCACTGAATATTATAAAGTTTGTGCACACACTGCCATTCGGCCATTTAAGAACAAAGCAAGTATCAAGCTACTGTGATTGCTTTTATCCAATTTAGCCAATTAGCTGCATCCATTTGAGATGTTTGGGATCCAGTCATATCAACTTAGTGTCTGAATGCTTTTAAATGTGTTTTATTCATCTACATGTGTGCATGTGACTTTATCAAATGCAGTTTGCTTCCTGTTTTTTGCAAACTGTCAGGAATGATTTCAGCTGACGGGAATGTTAGCATCAGTTATTCATTTTTTTTTTTTTTCGCCATTCCAGCAGATTTGTTGGCGTTTCTAAAGACTAGTTCAGGGCTGGGTCAGTTGCACGTTGCAAATCTTCACTTGTTGTGTTGACAAGAGCTGGCCGTCAGTGCAAACTCACTTTGTGACTGGAGCAAAGGCGAGTCTCCATATGGTTCCTGCAAGACTTGACCTAAGACTCAGCTTTTGAAACCCCTACCCCTGTACGCACGCGCACGCACACACACACACACACACACACACACACACACACACACACACACACACACACACACACACACACACACACACACACACACACACACACACACACACACACACACACACACACACACACACACACGTTTAAAACCAAAGGAAGTGTGTCTGCATGGCTGTGCTTATGCAGGGCCTCAGCTTGCAGTGGCCTGGACAATGTTCTACAGTTAGCTTGGAAGCAGCCAGCACGCGGTGCAGGAAATGACTCTCAGCCTGGTGCTTTTTTTTCTTTCTATTTTTTCTTCTTTACTTCAGCTTCTTCTTTCCTGGGATCACTGTTTGTTCATGTTTCTATTTTACAGCTTTCTTTTTATAATAGATCTGTGCTTGCTTTGGTTTGGTTCGCGGACATTTCTTCAATTGCAGATGATGGGTCGCACGAAAAATTGCAGTCCAGATTAGAGCCTAATAAAATACATTTAAACTTTTGTCAGATTTTGTCTTTTCTCCCACATTCCATTTTTGTATTTTCTGCCATTAATTCTCAGAATTTCACTTTTTTTAATATTTATTTTTATGGAATAATAGTTTTAAATCTTGAAACATTTATCCTGAAAATGTGAAAATAGAAAATAACTGTTTTGAAAGGAAGCAAACTGACAAAATCAAAATGGATAGGGCTTTACTAGATCTAGTTAAACTCCAAAGTACGAAACTTGCTTTAAAGTTAAATCTCTATCTAGTTTATAGCAATTTACCTATCTAAACCTATGGGGCAAAAATGTCTGTTTGTGACAAGTTTAGGTATTTGTTAGATACTAGTTTTATATGCTGCTAATGCACCTTCCAAAAAAAATAAAAATAAAAATAAAATAACTGTTAACGGTGTCCCACAAGGTTCAGGATTCACACCACTTATCTTCTGTAAATACTGTTTTTTTTCTCCAGATTTGTTAGATTTAAAACTCTCATTTTATAATTTCATTGAGGACGCCCAACCTGATTAACAATGATGTTATGTTTATAGTTAAAGACAGAAACTTGTTTTCATCTGGAAATCTTTAATCTGACATTCAGAAATAGTTTTAATTGTGGTCCACAAACCAAAGTAAGGTTATAACTATAGTGTAGTTACCTACCGTGAAGGTAACTTCACTGGCATCCAGTCCCAAATTGAGGACCTACTGATCACTTGAATTGGATTTTTATTTTTAATTCACATATTTATAAGGCTCTTACTGTGTTTTTTTTTAATCTGAATAATGTAATAAACATCAGAAGCATCCAGTTTCAAAGCAATGCCGAGAAACCAGTGCATGCATTCGAAACGTCTGAGGAAAAGCTGAGTGTTCAAATAATTCCCTGAAAATCTTTCAGTGTGTCTAGAATGCAGCGACCACAAAACTGACTGGAACTACGAAGAGAGATCACATTTCTACTGCTGTAGTTTTACTGCATTGACGCTCAGTGAAGTTTAGAAAATAATTCAAAATCCTCCTAACATACTAAGCCCCTGTTACCTTAGATGGGAATTAGTTCAAATATCTCATTGTTACCATAGAATAATTCTACAGCGTTAGTCTTAAATGTAGTTGTTGGACTCCTCTGTGGCACCAGGTTGTTCTCATTTTTTGCATTTTTTTGCATTTTGATCTTATGAACTTTTGTAATTTATGAATTATATATTTGCAGGTTTTATTGCCATGCTAGTTTCCTTTTTGACGCCTTTTCAACATAAAAAACACAAAAAAGGTGTTATGAAAGACTGAGTTGGATTTCTATTTCTGTTCTGTCGAACATTCTCATTTTCTTAAACCAGTTTTTGGGCTTGTGGAATATTGTCTCAGCTGCAATGATTTTGCAGGAGGTCTACTCCAGAAATGTCACCAACTCTCAGTATTTACAGCTCAGCTGCATAGTTCTTGTGATGCCTGGAGAACTTTTTATTCTAAAAGCCATTAGATCAGTAGATTGTTGTTTTCCTTCCTCAAATCTGACTGATTCTTTTGGTCTGTTTAGAAAAGACCAGAATCTGCTGTCACCAGTCAACTGTTGGTACCTGCTGCTGAATCAGGTCAGGAGGGAGAGTAAGGACCATGCAACGCTGAGCGACATCTACCTCAACAATGTCATCATGAGGTTCATGCAGATCAGTGAGGACTCTACGCGTCTGCTCAAAAAGGTGAAGTTAAAAGACAACTGCTGCACAGCCAAAAATGTTGTTCGTATGTATATGGTAAATGGCGTGAATTTGTATAGCACCTTCTTAAGGTTCTACACCCCCCCCCCCCCCCCCCAGGTACTTCACAACACAATCAGTCATCCACCCATTCACACGCTGGTTATGATGAGCTACGATGTAGCCACAGCTGCCCTGGGGCACACTGACCGAGGCGAGGCCTGCCGAATACTGGCGCCACAATTTCCTCTGAGCACCACCAGCAGGCAAGGCGGGTTAAGTGTCTTGCTCAAGGACACAACAGCAGCATTTTGTGGGGGGGAGCCGGGATCGAACCTGCAACCTTCCAATTACCCACTTATAATAAAATACTGTGTTAAAAAAAAAGAAAAAAAGAGGGAAAACCGTCTAAGCTTAGACGACATGCATGGTCAGAACAGAGATGTTCTAATTTTGACAAGTAGAGCCTCTTAATTCCTCTTGGGAAGATTTTCCCCGTTTTTCCTGTCAAAACATATTTTTTTAATAATTTACTCATACCAGTTTTTATAAAGGACTTGGACCAAATCTGGATTCTGCGACACATTTAAACACTTTATTCTCTTCTCCGGGATCACTTCTGCTTGTAATTATTAACTTCATGTATTAATAGAATGTTCCCTAAGATTAAAGCGGGTTAAATCTAAGTCCAGTTGGAAGATAGACTGACTGACATTATTAAATTTACAGAAGTCATAAGAAATGTGAACTTTGTTCGTCTAGACGTTGCATCCGAAGCAGACTGCTCATTTCTCTCTTGTCATGTGTGTTGTATTTAACACAAAATCAGTTTCATTGGTTAATGACTTTTCCAGTTGTAAGCACACACGTTTTCTCATCTGTGTTCCCTGAAGCTTTTCTTTTATAGTTCCCTTTTTAAAAGTCTTTATGATTGACCTCAACTTGGAGAGGTCAGACTTCTTCTTTTTTTGTTGTTTTAATGCACGAATCGGCTGAAATCCCTGCTAACACGATACAGATCCGGCAGTAGCAGTCCCCTCAAGTCCTTCACTTCTCATTAACCCATTCATTTGACAACAGGGTATATTTAGTTGCATGATATGGAGGAAATTATATTCAGCTCTACTACCCCTGATGGGGTGATGCTCTGCTGAGCTCGTGTGGTTTAGTTCACTGAATTAGAGTAATGCTCTTGAGTCCTGGTCGCCGCACCTTCAGATCAGCGTGCCACCACTCTTTCATGGCTTCATGACCAAAAGCCAGGCTGCTGCTTTTTGTTTCACCACAAAGATGACAACTCCCTTACAGATTATGAGCTCCCTGCTGCCGGAGTCATATGAACTCACCACAAAGCTAAATTACTAAGTGCTCTTTCTTAAGTGCTGTGCCTTTGTGTGCATTTAGATCACCGAAAATGTTGTTTTTCTTGCGCTCTACTTTTAAAAAATCCTTAAAATTTGGATTTAATTCTTAACAGTTACTTTAGCTGTTTGAAGTGGATGTGTTAAATAGCCTGTATTTGATATAGCGCTTTCTAGAGTCCTGGAACCCCCCAAGGCGCTTTACAACACAATCAGTCATTCACCCATTCACACACACATTCACACACTGGTGGGGATGAGCTACGACGTCGCCACAGCTGCCCTGGGGCGCACTGACAGAGGCGAGGCTGCCAAGCACTGGAGCCACCGGTCCCTCCGACCACCACCAGCAGGCAAGGTGGGTTAAGTGTCTTGCCCAAGGACACAACGACAGCGACAGACTGAGCGGGGCTCGAACCTGCAACCTTCCGATTACGGGGCGAGCACTTAACTCCTGTGCCACCGTCGCCCCACCGTGTTAGCTTGTTGTCATGTGTGCGTTGGAGCATTTTTAATTATCCGCCGGTTTTATTCCTGTGAGGTTTTTCTTGTGCATCTCAGTTGTTAAGTTATCGCGTTCTGCCCCGTGTGCTCGTTTATTTTATTGGTTTATGTCACAGTTTTTTTTATTTGTTCCCTAGTGCAGGGGTGCCCAATCCTGGTCCTGGAGGGCCAGTAACCATCAGGTTTTGTGGTTTGTCCTCTTCCAACACACTTGATTCAGTATTTGAATCACCTGTGCAGCAGTACATCAGGCTCTGCAGAAGCCAGATAATCACCTTTTGATTGAAATCAGGTGTGTTGAAGCAGAGTTAAAACTAACACATGCTGGACACCGGCCCTCCAGGACCAGGATTGGGCACCCCTGCCCTAGTGTCTCTGTTGGTTCAGTTATGCATCCCTTGTGCGTGTCTTTGCATATTTTGTTAAGTGTTTCTCCAGTTTCCCTGTGTTCGGCTCTCCCAGTGAATTAGTCACACCTGTTATCAATCAGCATCCATCACACCTGTCCCTCATCTCCTCCCACTCCTTCAGTCCTATTTAAACTTTCCTCATGTCACTTCTCACATTTGGTTCCTTGTTGTTTGTGCTGTATGCTCTAGTTTTCCTAAATCCATTTAGAAAAAGTCAGTTTGATCAATCTGGCTGCCACCTGGATCTATTCCATTTCCATCTTGGTCTCCACCCCGAGCCCCTAACAGTATATTTATCTGTAGTTTTACCCAAATAAATTTCACAAATCACTTGAGTGATTTTTGTGAAACTGAAAATAATTAGTTGGGCCCGACCGATGTGCTTTTTTTGGGACCGGTACTGATATAAAACTTTTAACAAAGGCCGATAGCCGATATAATGGCCGATAAATCTCCCTCACAAAATAAAAGAAACAAAAGTTTTCTTAAGCTTAAACCCTTCATTATCTGCCTTTTTGAGGCAAACTTATTTCACAATTGCACACCAAAGAACTGTCAATAACTCGCTAGGGTTTCCAAGTAATGTAAATAAGATTTATTTAGCAGATCTCAAAAACAACAGAACACACAGCATAAATCTAACATTCAAGTGTTTTCTTGTAAACTGTTAGCCTGGCAAGCCAGACTAAATAAATGTATTATTTGCAAAGCAAGAATTTGGTCTAGTTCACTAGGCAAGTAAACTGGTTTCCACAAATACATTTTAACTTAAAGGAATATTCCACCACTCAGTAAAGTTGTGTCTTGCTAAGATTCCCCAGAGTTAGACAAGTCAGAAAAAGAATTTTATAACCAGCCCAACATGATCTGGCAGCAGTTGGTTTTCTTAGTTTAGCATGAAACAATGTAAGTGAATTCACATACAATGTAGTGTTTTTTATGTAGGTGAATTCAAGCCTCCCCTTCCATTGCTTTATGCTAAAACAACTGGTTACAAAATGTTTTTTTCTCACTTGGCTAACTCTGGGGAATCTTACAACACACTCAAGTTTAGTGACCAGGGGCGGCATTAGGCCCGGCTACTTGGGCTGAAGCCCCGGATGTTTCATGGAAAGCCCCGGATCTAAATCGCGGAAGTAACATGCAGTACCAAAGTCCAACAGAGAGGGAGCAGCTGGCAGTAGTTTGTATTCAGCCTGCCTGAGCCTGCACCACTGAAGAAGAAGCCCTTCAGCAGCCGGCTTCTTCTACAGTCTCTGCCTGAAACGCATGAGTGAAGATGGACATAAGGACGTTTTTTAGACCAAAAGTACCGCGACAGAACCCCAGCTTTGATGAGACTGGTGTTGACTCAGGTTTGTGAGTCTTATTTGAAAATATTTGTTGTGCTGCTGGTTTGCCTAAAGTTAGCTTATCAGGTAAAGTGATTGGAGAAAGAACGGGAATATTTACTATCATCTCACACTAAACACTAACAGAAACAATATTCTGCCCTGAATATGCTTAATATGTAGCTTCAGATTAAAAATTATGTGGTACAAAACATATATGATGTTGACTAGTGCGTGTCACGTGTGTGTGTGTGTGTGTGTGTGTGTGTATGTGTGTGCGCGCGCGTGTGTGTTAAGCCCCGGATCTTCTTCAGTCCTAAATCCGCCCCTGTTAGGGACAGAAGATCCCTATAAGAATATTAAAATAATAAAAATGCAGCAATAAATAAAACGTAATACTTGTGCTTTGTAACAAAGTAACACTCTGTGGAAGTTAACCTGCTGAACTTATTCACCCTGGACAGGAAATAATTGCACATAAGAAACATAAATAAAAATAAATTTAAAAAAAGTTCCAAAACAATCATTTGTGTTCAAAGTTCAAAGGAGTGGAGCCACACAACATGAGTTCATAAAGCTGGCGCCATCTGCTGGATAGGTAGCGCATCTTAGGTGTGTTCTTGCTGTGTCGTATCTCTAATTCCATGCTGTAGTTATTTTTTAAAACACAGAGCAGTTTGGTTTACCTGTTTTCCCGCCACGTTTCGTTTGCGGCTGCGAACTTCCTCGGGCCGATTGTCATTGTCAGGCGTCAGCCTGAGGAAGTTTGCAGCCGCAAACGAAACGTAGCGGGAAAACAGGTAAACCAAACTGCTCAGTGTTTTAAAAAATAACTACAGCATGGAATTAGGTAGCGCAATATCGGCCATATCGGACATATTTTGGCCGATACTGTTAATGACCCCAATATCGGCCGGCCGATATATCGGTCGGGCCCTAATAATTAGTGGGTGTTGGCTTCATTCATGATGGCCGCCACACCTAAATAACCCAGAAAAGCAAAAATAGTGAGAATTCGGCTTTTATTGAGCTTTTATTGTGTGGTATTAGCTGAGATTGACTCAAATGGTTTACTGAGATCAAACATATCACAAGATCTTATCTAGATTTGCACCCAAACAGCTATGACGCAATCATAATTAACTAGGCCTTTAACTCATTTCTTGATTTCCATCGGCATCCTGTGACTGAGCTTTCATCCTGTTAATATGAGACCAAATATTTGCTAAACATCCAGAAGATGATTAAAAAAAGATTCTGCTTTGAAATCCAGCTGTGATGATTCATCATGCTACCCCCCCCCCCCCCCCCCCCCCCCCCACACACACACACACACACACACACACCTCAAACATTCCTTTACATTCTTAATGATAAACCTCCTTTTATGTTATTTG